TAATAATAATAATAATAATAATAATAATAATAATAATAATAATAATACAACTGAGGGACTTCCGAATGCAGACTGATAAAGTTTTGGAATCATTGACATTGCCATACCTGGTGATAGCAGAATCGACAAGAAACAACTTGAAAAAATCACCAGATATCAGGACTTGAAAATCAAATTGCAGAGACTCTGGCGTAAACCAGTGCAGGTGGTTCCAGTGGTACTCAGCACACTGGGTGCTGTGCCTAAAGACCTAGGCAAGCACTCAAAAACAATTGGCGCTGACAAAATCACCATTGGTCAGCTGCAGAAGGCCACCTTACTGGAATCTGCTCGCATAATCTGCCGATACATCACACAGTCCTAAATGCTTAGGAAGTGTTCAATTAGTGATTTGTGATACGAAATCCAGCATAGTTATCTCGTTTGCTGTGTACACTGTTGTTTTTCGTGTATAATAATAATAATAATAATAATAATAATAATAATAATAATAATAATAATAATAATAATAATAATAATAAAATATTTTCTCTTTCAACAGAAGAGAATATTTGTAGCTAAGGGTTGAGCTGTGAGGTCCTTGGTTTCCTCTGAGTATGGCTGTTTTCTTGTAGACATTTTATTACCCAATTAGGTAACAACGTCAGGGACAGAAGTACTGATTATGTTACCTATTTGGGTAATGAAATGTCTGCAAGAAAGTAATCACAATCAGAGAGCACCAAGGACTCCCTAGTTCTCTTTCAGAAGAAGAGATAATGGAAACACCTAGATATTTAGCATCATGCACCATGTTAGAAACTCATCCTTTGGGTTACTGCTTTCCACAAAGCAGTTCTGAATTCACTGTTCCGTATTGTGTAGATGAAAGGGTTTAACATGGGTATGAAACTGGTGCGCACAAGAGAGATTGTCCTATTTAGTCGGGTGTCACTATGCGTTGAAGGTTTCAAGTACATAAGCATATCTGCTGTATAGAAAATGGTTAGAACAATAAGATGGGAAGCACAAGTGAAAAAAGCTTTGGACCTCCCGATGGCAGAAGGGATCTGAAGTATGGTGTTTATAATGTGCATATATGAAATCAGAGAGAACCCAAAGGAACCCCACATTATAACAGCACCATAAACAAATCCTATTAGTTCAATCACTATTGTATCAGCACAAGCCAACTGCAAAACTGGACCAATGTCACAAAAGAAATGATCAATGAGATTGTGCGCACAATAGGGGTACGTCCACACCACAACCGACTGAGGAAATATGAGTCCAAACCCACCAATCCATGCCAGCAAAGACAGTTTGATACAGAGTCCACTAGTCATAATGGTTTGATAATGCAAAGGTTTGCAGATGGCCACATAGCGGTCAAAAGACATGATTGTGAGGGTGATGAACTCCACAGCTCCCATTGTGAAGACCACAAAACCTTGGGCCATGCAACATGCAAAGCAGATGGTGTTTTTGCCAGAGAAGCTATTGACCAACATCTTTGGTATCTCTGATGTTGTGGAAGAAATCTCAGCGATGGAGAAGTTCAGGAGGAAGAAATACATTGGAGTATGGAGCTTAGGGTCTATGGAAACCACTATGATGATTAAGGAATGTCCTATAAGTGACAGAAGGTACATCAGAAGCAGAAGTATATAAAATCCCAGGTCCAGTTCATGGAATTCTGAAAATCCCAGAAGAATAAATTCATTGAAAAATGTAGCATTTGACATCCCCTTCTTCTTTTTCTAAAATGATATAATAATTTATGGAAATATTATCATTTGTGGTGTAAGACAGTATACAATAGGATTGATAATCACATAAGTGGCTGAAGTGAAATACTGTGCAGGTTACTGAACTGTTTCATATTTTTTACTCGTACAACTGTTGATTAATTAGTAGTTTTGGAAATGTCACCATGACTCTCAGAATCAGTGGCTATTTGATTCAGGGTGTGAGGAGAGGCAGGAAATTAATTTCTTCCTCATAAAATGTCAGCACCCTTTTCTCTCATTGAGTATTTCATGCTACTATGAAGCATTTCAGAGTTTGCTTTATTTTTTCTGAAATCTAATATGGGAAAAAAGAAAAGTGACATCATCTTCCTTCTTTAATTTAATGTTTTTGAAGAGCCTATAATGTTGACTTTTTTTAAATTGAGAGTATTAAACTTTGCAGGCAAACACTTTCATAACTTCATGAGGTGTTTAATATTGTCAGGTGCTTTCCCAAAGTGATTAAAATGTGCTGTCTTTTGCAACTTTACACCTCTACACACACACACACACACACACACACACTGACACACAGGATTAATTTACATTAAAAGATGTAAGAGTAGTGAGGAATATTTCTAGATAGGAAGCAGTTGCAATTTGAAAGAATTTCTCTTTTATTCTAATGCAAAAGAATTGTATTTCATAATTTGCATATCTGGAATTGGTATCTGTTTTTTGCCCTCTCTGATTAGTTACTCCAAGATAATTTGTTTTTCAATTATTCCACAGAGGAATTATTGAGTTTGTCATCTGCATCTATAACTGTCTGGTTTGGCTCTGCAACCATATAAGACAGACAAGGACTTCAACAGATAATTAGAACTGCAGAAAAAACAATTGCTAACTACCTGCCTTCCATTGAGGACATGTATACTGCATGAGTCAAAAAGAAGATTGTGAAAATATATAAAGACCACTCACATCATGGACATAAACTGTTTCAACTACTACCCTCAAAACAATATTATTATAACAATGCACACCAAAACAATTAGACACAAGGATAGTTTTTTCCTGCATGCCATCACTCAGCTAAACAACTAATTCTCACAACACTGTCAAACTATTTACTAAGATTGTATTACTATTATTCTTCCTATCCTTCCTATTACCTATCTCCTTTTTTACTTATGACTATAACGTTGTTGCTAGTAACTTTATGATTTGTTTTGTTTTATTTAGTTTCCTACTATAATTTTGAATGCTTATTTGATATCCTATGACTATCACTAAGTGTTATATCTTATGATTCTTGATGAATGTATTTTTATGTACACTGAGAGCTTATGCATTGAAGACAAATTCCTTGTGTCCAATCACACTTGGCCAATAAAGAATTCTATTCTATTCTGTTCTGTTTTTAGCCCTCTTTGATCAGTTACTCCAAGGTAAGGATGGTACTCCTTTGTTTTTTAATTAGTGAAAAGACTTCAAAGCTGGGTGAGAAAGCTTGCAACCAATTACTTCATGGAAGTACACATACTGACCATTTTCCTACCCGACCTTAATCTTAATTTTTCTATTCACTCTTTAAACACCTACAGCCAGTGGTGGGATTAAAACTTTTTTTACTACCAGTTCTAAGAGAGCATGCTTCGCTCTCTCAATAGATCTTACAGCTATCGCTACAGGTCCATTTGAACCTGAAAATGATTTCTCCCAACCTCCAAATTACCATAACTGTGAAAGACCTTACAATCTACATCAAATATAGAATCTTCTTTCTTATCTTGTAGTAAGAACCAGGTGGAGATAGGTTTTGAGAAGAATGATTCTACATATAACTCTGTTCACGGGTGGGATTCAAATTTTTAACAACCAGTTCTGTGGGAGTGGCTTAAGTGGTAGGTGTGGCTTGGTGCTCATGTTATTGGCTGGGTGTAGCCAACTCAATATCATGCATCTCCTCACCTGGCCTCTCATGACTGTAGGGATGCTGCAACAGTCGTGTGAAAAATGCTTATGTCACTTTTTTCAGTGCCATTGTAACCTTGAATGGTCATTTCACACAAGAAAAGTACCAGCAAAGGAGGGGGAAAAATCTCCACAGAAGTTCCTGGGACAGGAAGTCTAGTCCTGCCAAGAATGTAATAAGGGTTAACGGAGAGGCAGTTTCTGTAACAAACACCAGAATGTTTCCTTCCTACCTTCCTTACAGGATTAGGCCAGTAATTTCTTCTAACAACCAGTTCTCCGAACTGCTTAGAATGTTAACAACCGGTTCTTGTGAATAGGTGCGAACTGGTAGAATCCCACCCCTGACTCTGTTCAGTAACAGTGAAGAGGTGAAAGATTCCCCCCATCCCCCATATGATTTCCTTATAGTTCCTCAGGGATAGATAGCACAAGTGATGTCATAATTTCCCTCCTGCCAATTAGTAGTTCATGTACAGCATAGAGTTTTTCTTCTTGAAGGTTTCAAGTGATGGCGCGCCCATAATTTCCAGGGGCAAGTTGTTCCATTGGTGATTGTTCTCACTGTCAGAAAGTTTCTCCTTATTTCCAGATTAAATCTCTCCTTATTCAGTTTCCATCTATTATGCCTTGTTTGGCCTATAGGTACTTTAGAAAATAGTTTGACCCCTTCCTCTCTGTGGCAGCCTCTCAAATATTGGAATATTGTTATTGTGTCTCCCCTGGTCCTTCTCTTCACTAGACTAGCCATGCCCAGTTCCTGTAACTATTCTTCATATGTACTTCTCGTTGATTAGTTTCCATGCATTGCTTCTTCTGTTGCCTTCAGGTACTTTGGAGAATAGGTTGACTTCCTCTTCTTTGTGGCAACCCTTCAGATATTAGAATACTATATCATATCACTGCTAGCTTTTATTTTAATCAAACTAGACATACCCAATTCCAGAAACTATTCTTTATATGTTTTAGTCTCCAGTCCCCTAATAATCTTTGTTGCTCTTCTTTGTACTATTTCTAGAGTCTCAACATTTTTTTTACATCATGGTGATATAAGTATTTACACTGCCATTTTAGAGTTGGGATGAGTTTTATATGTCACAAATCAGCTTTATCAATTCAGAGGATAGACAAGATAACAGAGAACAAGGTTGGACTTACATCCTAATACATTGTTGACTGGTGTGATTTATTTTCCTGATTTCTGATTTGATTGCTAATTTCTTCCTTTTTTCTTCTCCTCCCTTTCTTGTTTAACTATTTTTTCTTATAGAAAGAATATTAATTGAGGAGTCTTTGGTGCTCTCTGAGCCTGCTTCTTTTTTTGCAGATGTTGCATTGCCAAACTAGATAACTTCATCAGACTGAATTAAAAACAAGCAAGCTCAGAGAGTACCAAGGACCTCATTTCAACTACTTGAGCTACAATTATTCTCCTTCATTGGTAGAATATTAAATATTCTTTCAAGTATATAAACATTCATCTAATGGTAAGTTTTAGTGAGATCTCTTTTTCCAGAAATTGGAAGCTATAGATGCACTGGAGACTGTGGGAAAAAAATAATGTGACGATCTTTGAATGTAGATGAATTCAACTAAGAGACACTCTAAGTCTTATAAATTTATACAGCTATAATATGAGATACACTCTTATACATCCATGCCATCTATACATAATAAAGCTTGGCAATATTGTTAGGAAAAATCACAAGTGATTAATCTCATTTCTTTCTTTTTGAAAGCTTTAAAACAATGTAGCATATAATTTGGCCATGACATACCTATAAAACCCCGAAAAATCATCTATGAAATAATTTCCATGCTGATTAGTTGCTGATAGTGATGAAGAAACCAAGCAGAGTAAAGCAGATGAATCAGACTGAAAAAACAAAGGACTATGATGTTCTTTCCGAGTGTGATTCATTAATGAATCTATGCGATGACTTTTTTAAAAAAATAAGGATACTGGCAAGAATAAATTACTACATCATCCCAAATGGAGCCAAAGATTATCCTATGGGAATGGAAGCAGATGAATCAGTTAGGCAACTCTTTGGAGGTGATCTGGGAAAGTTGGTTGGTGGTAAGCCAAGACTATGGAAGGACACAAAATAAAACTTAAAGAAATATAGATTCCAATAAATGCAGAAGAAAACCCATTTTCCTTCCCATAGAAAAGTTTATTTCTTACAAAGGATTATGATTGTACACAAAAGAATCACAACAAATGCTGTCAACATGTGAAGGATTTTAAAATCTTGAGCACCTGTACAGGTAGTCCTCAAATTACAACCAACTGTGTAGTGACCATTTGAAGTGATAATGGTACTGAAAAAGAGACTTATGACTGTTTCTCACACTTATGAGCATCACAGTATCCCCATGGTCATGTGCTCAAAATTCAGACACTTAACAACTGACTCATATTTATGACAGTTGTGGTATCCCAGGATCACATGATCCCCTTTGGTGACCTTCTGAAAAACAAAGTCAATGAGAAAGCTTGATTCACTTAACAATAATGTTACTAACTTAACAACTGCAGTGATTCACTTAACAACTACGGCAAGAAAGTGGGGCAAAACTCACAATTGTCTCAACAACCAAATTGTTGGACTCACATTGTAGTCATAAATCAAGGACTACCTGTATTGTAAACTATAAAGTCAAATGGTGTTTTTAAGACTGAAATTATTGCCAGTTGAATTCTGATTGCCTCACACAAAATGTCACCAATGCCACAATCCTCTAAACTTCATCTCATTCCTACTACCTATGAGAGTCCTGGAACTATTGTTTCACTCATTGTCTTAATTTCAGGTCCCTTTCATTTTATGGATTGCATTCTGGACAGCTTTTTTGACTTCAGCATTTCTAATTGTGTATATGAAAGGATTCATCATTGGGGTAAGAGTGGTGTTCAAGATTGCCACAGTCCTTGACAAGTAGAATGAAGACTGGACATTGGGCCTCACATACATGTACACAAGAGCTCCGTACAATATGGACACCACCACCAGGTGAGATGTGCAGGTGGAGAAGGCCTTTTTCCGCCCCACGGCAGAGGGGATACGTAGGATGGTGGCAATGATGAAAATATAGGACACAAGCATGAGAAACAAGGTCATAATCATGATTACAAAAGCGTACAACAGAAAAAGAGACAAAATGAAATGGGTATCTGCACAGGCTAGGTTCAACAGAGGACCAATATCGCAGAAGAAACTGTCCACAATATTGGGCCCACAGAACAGCAGTCTCCAAATGATTAAAAAAAATAAAATAAAAATCACAGGGGAAGCATACCAGGTGGCCAAAGACATATGAAGGCACATGTGCTTGGACATCAAGATGGGATACTGAAGGGGCTTGCAGATTGCCAGATAGCGGTCAAACGCCATTGCTGTCAGGATGAAAAGTTCTGTACTACCGAAAAAGAAATGAAAAAATCCTTGAGTAAGGCAACAGTGGAAGCAGATGATGGTCTTGGTTTGTATAAAAGTCTGTAGTAATTTGGGCACCACAGTGGAGGTATAGCAAATCTCCAGGAAAGCAAGGTTGCTCAGGAAGATGTACATCAGTGTCTGAAGTCTTGGCCCAATTGTGACGATGATGAGGATGAAGCCATTCCCAAGGATGGTTACAATGTACACAAACAGACCCAGCACAAAGAAGACTTGGTGAAAGTCATACAGAAAAGGAATTCCTAATAGGATAAATTCAGTTACTCGGAACAGATTCCTGGGTTCCATCATTTCAAAATGGTCGGTGATTTTTCAGCAGTAGCTCAGAACACATCTAGCATTTCAAAAAATTATTGTCAATGTGTGCATTACATTTACAAATAAAGTTAAAAAACAGAAACAAATAAAGAAAAAAATCTCAAGGCAGGGGAAGAAGGTTATACAGTGCATTATAACTTCTGAAATGTTCTATTTATCTAAATTTGTCTGTCTGCAAAACTATTTTTGTCATAACACATTTAATGAAAACAGGAAATGTATTTTATCATTTCCAATATATTATGCCAAGAAGTATATGAAAAGTCACTATGGTAATGTCAGTGTACCACATTATATTTCAATATTTGGATTGATATTGCAGAAGTTACACTGGCCATCTTCTGTTTTCCTGAAATAAACACATTTAAGCAGAAAGATATCTTACCAAATAAAAGAGAGTTCAAAGGTGCTTTTTGAAATGCAACTGAATTTTCTTTGTTTTTCCTTGAAGATGTTTTGCTTCTCACCCAAGAAGCTTCATCAGTTCTAAATAGATGACATGGGGGGAATGATACTATTAGTTCTTCCTGTCAGAAGCTTGTTGGATGAGGAAAAATTAAGGAAGTCCAGTTGCAATTATGAGACAATCATGACATGGATGTCTGACGATTTTCATAGATAAATAAAGGAACATAGTTCATTTAGGAGACATAGCATAACATTTTAACATACAGGATTGATTTCTGAAATCTCATATGAGAATAGGCTTTACATGCCCAGCTTATGGTTGGTAAAAAAGCAAAATAAAGTCTAAAACACTGTATAGTCATGGAAATAGAAATATATTAACTTTATCTGAACAACCAGATAAACGTTTACCAACACCAGTCTTATTCTTTGAACCTGGAAAGTGCTACTATAAACTTTTGCAACTGTCTCAGTCCCTTGAGTGTCAATTAGGTCAAATATTTACAAATAAAATTGTCCAGTCTCCATGTTCACAATTTTTGTTCACAAAAAGTGGCAGACATTTATATATATTGGTGGGGAAAATTCAAAACATCTGAAGCCAATGATTAAGAAAACAGGCATTCCAAAGAATTGGGAGTTTCTGCATAACAGAATAGCCAGCTCTGAATCCAAGCAGATTATTTGTTGGTGAAACCCTTTTTCTTAGTGATTTTAGTTCTTGTTGTTATAATTTGACTGGCAGGAGGATGATTGGAATTGCCTGGAAACAGGTGTTGAAAGGCTGGAAAATGCCTTTCTTTTGAGGATTCGGTTTTCCTGCTGGGAGGGCTCCAGTACAAGGACACAGACAACTACTTGGAAGCAGGTTCCTTTAATTTTCAGGAAGGCAAGAGATAGCAAGAAGTCTGCGTTCCTGGGGCTAGCCATCTTTGTATAATAAACTCCTGATTTTTATACCTTTTCTCCTTTTGTGTGTGAGTGCTTGTGTTTGTATTTCTTAATGTTTTAAATCCTGTCAGGGGGTTGTCTTCATTTCCGCCAGAGGGTAAACTCTGCGGGGTGGTTTGATTGGATTATCAGTTTCATCCTAATGTTTTCTTATATTTGTTTGGTGGCAATCTCCTGTCTGCTATGGGATTTATTTCGTATCTTTTTGTCTATTTGTTTTGCTGATTTGGCATGACCTTTTGTTTGTAAGGGATTTCTTTTTCTTGTTTCCCTAGCTTTCTTAATTACTTGGCTTTTGTCTAGGGGGCTTCTTTCAATACCGTTTATCAAATCTCTTTTCCTATGCAAGTTTGTTTTATGGCTGGCCTGATGTTCCCTTTGGGCTTTTCCTGCTTGGGTATCACCACTGTCCTCATGAAGTTCCCTTTCCACACAGGATTTGGGAATTTTGAACTTGGCTTAACTTGGGGGCAATTAATTTTAGCTCCAAGCAAGCTTTGTTTTTAAACTTAGCCCCTACACTCCCATATCTCAATCTCATGTTACTTTTTTGGATGGGAGGGGAGGAGAAGAGAGGGAGGAAAGGAGAAAGTGATTTGAGCATTTAAGAAGAAGAATTGATAAGACTGTGCAGCGCTAAGATTAAAAAAAAATCAAACTGTGATTCATTGCATGTTTGAGACTCTGAATATTGGGCTTCCTTCCTTTGACACAAAGCAGTTGTTTCCTTCTCTGGGATTTGTATGTCACATGCACAATTTGATTCCTGGTAAATTCCCATTGACTGAAAAAGCCCCAGAACATTCCTAAAATATAACCTGCTTGAATCTTTATCAGGTTGCAAATAGTAACTTACTTTTAAGCTTCCAAAGAGGAACTATTTTCTCTCACTTTTTTATTTCTGGAAGGGCTTCTTCAATGAGAAGCAAAACGTTTTCAAGTAATATAGGGAAGTCCAGTTGCTTTTAGAAAGAAAGCACCTTTGGGACAACCATGACTGGATGACTGAGAATCTCCATACAGGGAATTCTTTAAAAAGAACAGTTTTTGATTTCTTTATCTATAATTCTGCATCTTTAAAATAAACCAGCCAATTCCAAATCGCAGAATCCTAAAATGAACGAGCATGTGGGATTCTCCTCCACTCTCTGTATCTCTCCATGTTTTTGACCATCACATCAAGCAATTTCTTTTCTTTTTGTTTGTTTTATTTTTTTTTATTTTTATAACAAAAACAATAAATTAAACCATCTTTCAATTATATAGTGTGTCGCCTGGGTACATATTTCTTGTGCACACATTAATATTTGTATACATTTCTTACTAAGCTTACATTCATATTATAGCCTATTCAGCATTATATATCCTAACAAAACATTACTACAGTGTCATTTAATTTCTTATTTTATTTTTAACCATCCATGACATAAATCCCAGATCTTATAATACTCCATTTCTTCTTGTTCTCTAATTGCCAATGTTAATCTACTCATTTCTGCACATTCCAATATTTTCTTAATTCCTCCTCCTCTATCGGAATCTTTTCATTTTTCCAATTTTGAGCAAATACAATCCTAGCTGCTGTTAATATATATATGATTAAATACATTTTTCTTTACTATAAATTTCCATAGTAGGATTTAGCAAAACAATGCAATGAGCCTTTAAAAAAATCTCTCTCAGTTCTACACCTGAAATCCAAAGCAATTTCTACATTGCATCTACTAAGTAGATTCTCCTTCATCTAGAAGACCTCTAAAGCCCCTTCCAGCTCTATTCTGATTATGATCCACCTGTCTTGAACCTGGGATTTTAAATTTGGTACAGCCTTGCCAATTTCCATACAGCAACGTTGTATGTGTTCGGCTGCTATACTTAATCTCAGTAAGAAGAACCTGCACTCGTGATGCATAAACTTGCTTAGATTGACATTTCAACAGGATATATACAAAATTGTCAACAACATGTTCAATAAGAAAAATACAGAATCTCGTTTCTGACCTTTCTGGCCATCATCAAACATGTGAAGAAAATTTTAACACAGGAAGATTCTAAGTATAACTCTTCCCTAAGAAACGAATAGTCGGAAAATCTGTATTTCCTTAATAGCTCCTCAGGGATATTGTAACTGAAGTAATCCCTTAGGCCAATTAGTAGTTTATGTATGGATGTCTTCAAAGAAAAACTTTGAAATTATGGAAATTGGTCATTTGAAATTATCTAGGTCAAGCTGAGAAAAAAAGAATTGTCCATTAGTATTGTGTCCTAACAGACTGATCTGAAGTTCTCACTCTGGTCTGTACATCCAATGGGAACGCATACCATTACTATTGGCTGACACTGTTTGACAGTGTCTGTTTGACATAAAAGGGAGCTGTCAACGGGCATCAGCTGTTGCCCATCAGCTGGCTGCCCTGTTACCTTGTGGCAGCCGTGGCAACCCTTTATTGTTAAATAAAGTTACAGCTTAATGTTGCTCCGTGTTGCCTCCATTATTCCGCCTGCCTTTATTACACTGGCGACGAGGGTGGGATTTGATAAAGAGGCAACTGAGCACGATTACTGAGCTGAAAGTCACTATAAGAGCTGAAGCCACTACCTGAGCTGAAAGTCACTATAAGAGCTGATTCTCACTATTTGCGAGTGCGAATTTTAATTCCTCTCAAGAGAACTCAGTGCTGAGATGACTTCAACCCCAGCATTCCTACCCTTCAGACTGACAGCAGAAACATGGCAGTCTTACATAAATCACTTTGATTGTTTTCTAGACACCAGCAATCTCGCTGAAATTTCCACCCACAGGAAAAAAGTATACTTTTTAATTTTTTTACAGAGCCACACTGCTACTGCATTGCTGGCACTGTGATCAGTAAAAACTGTACCCTGGGAGGAATTGCAGGAAATCCTATGTAACCATTATTCCCCTAAACCTTCTTGCATTGTCAGGTATCACACTTTTAGAAGATGAATCCTGGCTGAAGGAGAGACTATTAGTGGGTATATGGCAGCCTTATGGACAGCTGCCTTACACTGTGGGTTTAGGGACTACCTTGAGGACATGCTATTGGACCAATTAGTCTTTGGGGTTAGGGACCTAAGGTTACAGAGATGCCTTCTTGCTAAAGGTGACTTGACCCTTAAGATAGCTATAGAGGAATCTCAAGCTGCTTAACTGTCAGCGCTCTCAGCGGCAAAGATAAAAGGAAACCCTGTCAGCCAGAATAGCTCAGCTGTTCATTATGATGAAGCCTCTCTGGAGGAAAGCTCTGATGAAACCAGTGACGTTAATTGCCTCAGACAGCCCAAAGTCACTCAGAGGGGAAACAGGTCTGCTCCCAATTAGGCCCCACGGTCTCAGCCCATCTGCTTGAGCTGTGGGAGGAAATCATCTTGGGGCAAGTTCAGGAATGCCATTTGTCTACAATGCCAAAGGAAAGGTCATTTAGCCAGGATCTGTCAGGCAGGAAAGACTTTTACCCAGCCACAGCAACCAATTCCTCAGACAACACAGCATTTTCATAAACAAGTTGAAGATTGCTTCACCTGCTACCAAGCTAAATCACTAAACAATGGTTCTAACAAAATAAGTGTCATTTTTTCTTTAGAAGGAA